ACAACTCGTTGTATATGATGGTAACTCGTAAGAATTCTCGATCTTGGTAACTCGTTGTATATGTTTACGAAACGCGTGCGTATGGAAAATGATAAACAATCCTGTCTGCTAGCTAGCTCATGCTTTATGCTCCCGTTGGTGGCGCCGTTTCGGTTACACTCGTAATGCCGAAAAAACTCGAAGGTGATGGGAGAGGGGGGCGTGGCGCGATTTCGGAATATCATTGACTGTTTACCCAATTTATATACCCTTTTCACTTGATTTTTTTTCATAATGTTGTTTATAAATAAATTTTGCACACAAAAAAAGTCAATTGTCCCAATTCAGTTACACTTTAATTAAAAAATGAGTGGATGAATAATTTTCAATTAGAATATACATTGTGTAGAAATCTAGATTTTAGATTCATAATGAAATCAGTCTTCAAGCGCACTATAGAATAAAAGATACCAGAAATACCCAAAATGTATTCCTCCAATTTTGCTCAATATGTATTGGAAAATCATAAATACCATAGGCAAAAATAGAAAACATTAAAAATGCCAGGAAAGAGTTCCTTTTGTACCCCTACCCCTAACCCTAACTCCAACAGTTATGTATGGGACATATTTGGAACTGGGAGCAGATGAAGTATTGAAGTACGGAAATATTCGTGTCAATAAAATACCAACATAATCGCACATAAAACGTTGCTTGTCTGTTATTTTATTGGTCTAAGAAATAACATGACCATATATCACATATTATATTATAGCATTATCAATACCAGTGGATTTTATGACGTCATTGCAGCAGATTATTCGCGATAATGTATTACATTATTGAGCATCAAGGCCCTGTCCCATGGATATGAATACAATGTTGTTTTCGAAAACGAATAAACAAGAAACTATTAAAAAAGAAGAGAAATTGTTAGATAACAAGTATTTAATACCAAAATCGGCATCAAATAAAACGGTCCATAACCAATAACAGCAGATTTCAATATCGAAATCAGACAATATTTTAAGGGCATCGTCGTCTGCTCTGTACGCTAACGCGCGTTTGGTCGAAGCGTTCCATCTAGTACACGCGCTTCTAGATTCCGCGACTGATGCCGCTGTCCCGGTGGCCTCCTGATTAGTTCGCCCTATCGTGTTAATGAAGTGAGGTTAACTGAGGATAATTGATCCAAGCAAATGCGATAAACGAAATGGGGTACAATGTACGTCTACGAGTACAGAGAGATGAATTTGTTCAGTTTTTGTAGTGAGTAGTACAGTTTTGTGAAACGAGATCGACGAGGACCGACGTGACTTGTATTTCCTCAGCGTTGACTCTCGGTAAATGTAACAGTCCGGGCACAGTTTGCATAAATAAATGAAAGTATCAGTGTTCTCAGTGTGTATCTGTTTATTTATACAGTGAGATTAAAATCACTGTTGGTTCTCCTTCTAGGATGGCTAACACCCACTAGCTTTCCGGTCATGTTCGTTGGCCCGCTACGCCTGTAAGTTTCGTTTGGCTTCTTAGTATTCGTCAAATCCCCGCCCTCCCGTGGAATTTAAAATAACTATTACACAGACAGGACAGTTGCCATAATATCTACCTTGATTGTTTGAAAACACTAGTGGGATGGGGTAACGATGCAACTACGTACATGTACCCGTGTACGCACCCCTACCCTACGCACAGTCGATCCAGCTGGACCACG